ACTGAGTCTTCTTCCTCTCTCTTAGATATAGTCTGTGCTAGTGACCCTTCTAATAAACCGTTGTAGTGTTGGCGAAAGTTTTCTCGACCAGCCTATGAGATACCATTGTCCTATCTATAGCAGTATTAATATTTCCAAACCTCCTAAATCTTGTTTTAAACGTAAAATTTGGCTTTATGACCTGGGTAATTATGACTTGTACAGAGATAAACTTTCCAAAATTGACTGGGACGGAATTCTAGTTGGTAATGACATCGACGACAAAACAGACAAATTTACTAATATTTTACTCAAGATCGCAGGTGAGTGTATCCCCAATAAAAATATAACTGTAAGAATCAACGATCCTGCATGGATGAATAACACTATCAGAAAGTTAATTAGAAAAAGGAAATACTTACATCGCAAAGCTAAAAAATCTCAAAATGGTAATGACTGGGGAAATTTCAGGAAAATTCGAAATAATTGTGTAAATGCTATTCGTAACTCCAAAAGAAAATATTTTAACAATCTTTGTGACAAACTTAAAAATAATGATAATATAAGTGCTAAGGAATGGTGGAAAATTGTAAATCATTTTATGTCTAATACTTGTAGTAAAAGCAACATACCTCCGATCTTGATTAACAATGACATAACGCAGGACGACCAAGAAAAGGCCAATGCCTTCAACACTTACTTTACCTCACAAGCTACTATTGATGACACAGGTGTTGACCCCCCTCATCTATATAAACCCCATAATCATTCACTTCCTGATATTATCATATCTCGAAAAGACGTTCTTGATGTTATACAGCATCTTGACTGTAAAAAAGCTGTTGGGCCAGATCTTATAAATTCTCGATTAATCAAAGAAGCAGCTGATATTCTTAGTTATCCTCTCCTTTCACTGTTCAACTGCTCTCTTGCTGATTGTATGTTCCCGTCTCTATGGAAGAGGGCTAATGTCACACCTGTGTTCAAAAAAGAAGACGCATCCGTACTAACCAACTATCGTCCAATTTCTTTATTATCTATTATTGGCAAAATGATGGAAAGATGCGTATACAAATATGTTTATAATTATTTAATTGATAAGTCTCTATTGTTTCCTTATCAGTCTGGCTTTAGATCCGGTGATTCCACTGTGAACCAACTTATATCTATTTCTAATGATATATATTCTGCTTTAGATAAAGGTAAAGAAATAAGAATGGTTTTCTGCGATATTAGCAAAGCTTTCGACCGAGTGTGGCATAGAGGTCTTCTTTCTAAACTCGAAAACTTTGGAATTACAGGTAATCTACTGGCTTGGTTCACAAATTATTTGCATAATCGTTCTCAACGAGTTGTTATTAACGGTAAAATGTCTGATTTAGCATCTATTACTGCCGGGGTACCACAGGGGTCTATCTTAGGTCCATTATTGTTTTTGATTTTTATTAATGACATTGTCGAAAATATAAATTGTTTTGTAAAATTATTTGCTGACGATACGTCTCTCTACGTTATAGTGGATTTACCGGATTTAAGTGCTAACATTTTGAATGATAACCTAAAAAAGGTTCATGATTGGTCCAAAAGTTGGCTTGTCAATTTCAACCCTAACAAAACTGTAACAATGACTGTAAGTAAGAAAAATAATAAACCAATTCATCCCTCCTTGTCTATGAATAACATCCTATTAACAGAAGTCTCCTGTCATAAGCACCTTGGCGTCTTTTTATCTGATAATGGAGGGTGGGCTGACCATGTGCATTCTATAATCAGCAAAGCATCGAAGAAACTTGGTATTCTTAGGAAATTCAAATTCAGTATTGACAGAAAGACTCTACAAAAAATGTATTTTACTTTCCTTCGACCCATCTTAGAGTATGGTGATGTAATATGGGACAATTTAACGATTGCACAAAGTCAGTTATTAGAAAATATACAGCTTGAAGCGGCTAGAATTGTAACTGGTGCTACTAAGCTAACTAGTCACGACCGAATTTACCAAGAATCTGGCTGGGACCCTCTTTCAGTTCGAAGAAGTAATCACAAGATCGTACAATTTCATAAGATTGTCCATGGTCAGTCCCCCTCCTATCTCACCAACACACTTCCTGCTCGTCATTCTGATCTCCACTCTCACAATACTAGAAACGCAAACAACTTCTGTCAAATAAACTGTAGAACAAAGCTTTACAAAGATTCTTTCTTCCCCTCCTCTATTGACCTGTGGAATGCACTTCCCGATGATATAAAGCCAAACCCTTCTCTTACTAACCTCAAAAAGTTCTTAAACGCTGGTAGTCATCCTGTTCCACCTTATTATTACTACTGCAGAAGTAGATTCGCCCAAATTCACCACGCGCGATTAAGGATGAACTGCAGCTCTCTGCACAGTCATTTATATATACGTAACTTAATTGATAGTCCCATGTGTACTTGTAATCTATCTGCCGAAACAACCGAGCATTTCCTCCTCTTCTGTCCAAAATATCAACTATTAAGAGATCAATGCTTCAGAAACCTTCCTCCGGAGTACGACACGAATCTCCTCCTGTATGGAAATCCCGATATGCCAGTTAGATATAACGAAAATATTTTTGACTGTGTCCAATTTTTTATCTACCAGTCGAAACGGTTCTAAGTTCTCACCTTGAGTTTTATCAAATGTCTATAAGTATGCACATAGTAATACCTAACTGCCAGTGCACTTGTTCGGCATGGCATTTCAATGTAGATTACGTATGTAAAATTTTATATGCATATTGTCATAGTTCTGTGTAATGATATTTGTACTATGTGAGATTACAGTAGACTGTGGTACAGTACTGATTCTCCAATTACTCACGGGTCGTTTTTGTAAAATTGTGTTTACTTACCACTGATGTATTATAGACTTACTTGACATGTACGGTCAACCATGTGTGTCCAAATTTAAGTTTGATTTCAGCTCGGTTCCCCTCCATAATGCAGCATATTTGCATTGCTTCATTCTTTAACTCCTTCAACTTTTCTGTCAACTCCTTTGCATCCCCCCTCCCCCCTTTCTTCCCAAATATCTTCATTTCCCTAATTATGTACCAATATGCTCAATATATAATGTATAATATTAGTCAGTGCCGTCCGATCGATGCTTCGTAAATTCAGGAGACGGATTAATATAAGTACTTTGTACTTGTTTTCGAATCCTTATGTATACTGTTTGTATTGCTGAAATGTTATACAGTTTAAAATAAAATAAAGTTTAAACTAATCTATAAGTTTTTTTTTCATGTTATCAACTTTGTTTCGCTGTGATTTAAATTTATTAATATCTGCCAAACGTTTTGGTGACCGCGCTTATGAAGCCTATCCCTAATTCTTAAGCTTTTTCGGAGTTGAAAGGTCATCCATAGCTTATCATTAGGCTGTATATTTACCTTTTTACTGGGAATACATTCGTTAGCAAAATACAGAAAAATGTCCGTAAAACGATCACAGGCAAAATGAACTGAGCCACAATAATAAAAAAATGTCTATCCAGTTATAATAAGATATAAGTTAATTGCATTTTTCAAAATTTGTCCTCTTGTACTGCCAAATTTTACATGTATAGGCTGGTTTAAAAAGACAAGGAAGATTAATGGTAACATTACAACCATCATGATCACTAATTGATCTATCAGTAGAAATTACAGATGAGTCAGTGCAGGAAATAGAGTCAAATAATAATACAGTAAACTATACAATTATATCACACATGATTATTTGAAGCAGTGAGGGAGTCAACATATGAATCCCCATGTACTATAACATTTGGAGACATATCCAGAGCATTATTTACAGACAACCTGAAATTTTCCCAAAACGGTTGGGTAGAGTTTTCTGGTCTATAAGCCGTTGGAAAGGTTAGTTTTGGTCCATATTACCTCATCACAAGGATATTTCAATTCAGGCAAATGATCAACTTTCAAATGATTATTTCATATAAACCAAAATACCACCCTGGCAAAATTACTATCAAGTCTAAAAGGAGAAACCTTCCATGCATAAATCATTAGAAGTGACCTGATCGTCATATTGAGTTTCGGTTAAACATGTATTCAATGTCGTCTAATTTATGTCTAACACTCTGAACATCTAAATTAAATATAGAAAGCCCACCAAGTTTCGGACCTGGGTTGGACTCGACATCCATATACTGTAAAAATGACATTAAAAAAATCACTGAAAATTCGAAATTTCGGAAAAAATAAACAAACGTGATATTTAATTGACTTATAAACCAAAAAAGAAAGATATGCAATTGATGACGTAATTTTAAAAAAATCCACAAAAACAAAAAGTGATACATGACTTCACCAAACATCTTCTGTAGACCTTAAAATAAAAGGTACTAACCGCATTTCTATAACACATGAAATAATTAAATATTGTCAAATGTGAAACCAAAATCCTGAATTTCATGAATATACCATAATGCTCAAACCAGCAATGGAAAAAGAAATACATGTAAACGAGAAATAGTGCCAGATTTTCACTAGTAGTACCCCCCCCCCCCTTACAGTTCTAATGTCCATCACTACCGTGCCTTGGTAATCTTTCACCTGTCTTTCCTATCCTACGTGTAGGACTAATCACCTTACCATCTAGGTTGGGGGACCCCAGCACAGAGACCAACTGTCATTATATTGAAAACAAAAGTATAAGTATATAGTATGATGAACAGACACAGCCACACACCTTCAGACGCATCCCCCAACACACACACCACCCAATACACACACGCACGCACGCACGCACGCACACACACACACCACATACAATGCCTTGCATATATCTATCTATATTATATTCATACCAAACACACATACACGATTGTATTTTCAAATGATACATAAGCGGATCTACACTTCTTCATGTTTGAATTAAATTTTACAGGTACTCGTATGTGAATGCATGAACAATAAGTTACACATACATGTATTTGTACCTGATTTTGCCAGGAGTGTACAATGGTACAACTGATATTAAAACGCAGACCTTACCGTCTGTAACATAGAGACGTATCCAGTCACTGCGCCGATTTCCCCTATCTGTTGTGCCTACACACCGATAATCACCAGAGTCTGCTTCGTTTGAGTCGTGTATGGTCAATGATGGATTTGTTGGGGATGATCCGGAATATTTATCGTTAATTCTGCTGTCAGTACTGCTGTATATTTTACCATGCTGTGATTTTCTCCAGAACACAGAATAGGTACCTTCGTTCGAGTCGATTGAACATTGAAGTGTGACGTCATTTCCAGCCTGAACGCCACAATAGCGTTTACTCACTGTCACTCTTAAACCTGCAGTATAAGAATGAAACAGATAAGATAGATCTGTTTGATGTGGATATTTATTTTCATATTAGCAACATAGCATCAGATGGACAGGTAGACATGATCACATTTAGGAATAATTCAGCACATACAGATCTTCATTCTTTGCTTGATTAACTTTTTACTGTGCTGAAAATTAATTATCACTCTCAAATTCTTGCTGAAGAATCGAAAATCTGTAAAACAGCAACCGATCAAGTAAACCACAAAGCAAAATAAAATAAATAAAGTTATTTTTTATTGAAAATACATGTTTTATACACTGCCAGTTGCCTGTCTGTGCTATCACGATATTCAGAGTCTATTTCCAACACTCAATTAATTCGGAAAATCATTCTCTACATCACGTGACAGTTTTGAAAACGAGGCAGTTCATTTGTGTACACGAACACAGATGTGACTGAGGTAAGATGAAGAAACAAGGTACACACCTGTATTTCGGCATTCGACTTTGTTTTGTAACGCTAATTTAATTTTTTAATAGTAACACTGGTAACTACCGTTTCTGTAAAAGTCTTACTCCAGCCGTACATGTATTAATTTGACAGTATTTTAGGAGGAAAGAAAAGTTAATAAATTTTTGACCAAAAATCAACGACTTACGTGAACACTATTGTGTATATTGAATTTATTTCGGTATTCTAGGTTGTAATTTGCATAACACAATTACAAATTTTTCCGTAATTGAAATTTCACAGAAGACGTACAAATGAATAACACCTTTCAATACTGTCGCTTTCCGTTACACAAGAGTCAGAATACCACGACGTCGAAAGACACGTTGTCGTTAATATGATTTGTAAAGCGTGAAGCGAGTCTGGTCAGTGAACAACGCGTGTCTCCAATGGGTCAAACGAAACCGATTAGGTGTATATGAAAGCAGCTACTGCCTTTGACGTTGGCGTCACTTCTGTGTAAGTGTCTGACCAACATAGGGACGTCGTGGCCTTAAGTGAAACACCCGTAACCGATTCCTTAGCTGATCTGTACAGTCCCCGTGTTCAATTTGTAATGATTTACCAGCACATATTGTGCAGGAGTACCCAGGGGGAACACTTTCTTGAAATAATCTGCTGAAAGTACGTAGCGTCAACTGGGCCTCGGTCGGCTAAATTTTAACTGAATAACATTTGCACAGTGCACGCAGGTAGCTCAGTGTCAAATTTAATTTACTTTAGTCCATGTGTCTAAATGTTATATTACAACGACCGAATTTGCTTTTCTTTTTTTCACTAGAATACACACACAAATAGTCGCTTGGCCCAAAGGACCAATTACATCATCCATGTTTTCTTCCCGATTTCTAGTCCAGAAGGTTTCAACTACCAGTCCCTTCGTTGTCACCTATTTCACAGAGTTAGGTCCGTTTAATTATTACGATTCATTACAACAAATATAAAAACGAAAGTGTCCAGGGTGAAAGGCTGCAGTTGAGTGTTGTTTGTTCAATAATAGCCATTTCTATTCATGATTACCTGAGATATAAGAGGAGAAGAGACCAATTATAAATTTCTGTTAAAATAAACTCACAATTAACCGTTTCCGGTCTCATCCTGAAATCAAAACATATCCAATATTTTTATATATACTTTTTTATCTACTTACGTGCAGAGGCGAAACTGACCAATGTCAAACAATGAAAAACAAAGGACAGAAACATATTCCTGGTACGTAAAGACTTATATCCAATTAAGTAGCTGAGAGAATCTGCTATTTGACTATCGAGCGCCTTCTACCATCCATAAATCACACTGATTAACATACTGATGTAACAGAATATCTACTTTATAGGATGATTCATGTACAAAACGAAGATGTTTTATGATATAGTAGTACAGGGAAAAATGAAAACCGGAAAACATGAAGGGGTTTGATCATGTATCAACTTAAGATACATTACACACATTTAAGATTCTTCCGTGTTTTATTTCCATAACCACGTCTGTAATGTCCACATGTAATCATTGATTCCCGACACGACTGTTATATTATACAGAAGTGACCATGTCTGTAATGTCCACGTGTTATCATTGATTCCCCACACGACTGTTATATTATACAGAAGTGACCATGTCTGTAATGTCCACATGTAATCATTGATTCCCCACACGACTGTTATATTATACAGAAGTGACCATGTCTGTAATGTCCACGTGTTATCATTGATTCCCCACACGACTGTTATATTATACAGAAGTGACCATGTCTGTAATGTCCACATGTAATCATTGATTCCCCACACGACTGTTATATTATACAGAAGTGACCATGTCTGTAATGTCCACATGTTATCATTGATTCCCCACACGACTGTTATATTATACAGAAGTGACCATGTCTGTAATGTCCACGTGTTATCATTGATTCCCCACACGACTGTTATATTATACAGAAGTGACCATGTCTGTAATGTCCACGTGTTATCATTGATTCCCCACACGACTGTTATATTATACAGAAGTAACCATGTCTGTAATGTCCACGTGTTATCACTGATTCCCCACACGACTGTTATATTATACAGAAGTAACCATGTCTGTAATGTCCACGTGTTATCATTGATTCCCCACACGACTGTTATATTATACAGAAGTGACCATGTCTGTAATGTTCACATGTTATCACTGATTCCCCACACAACTGTTATATTATACAGAAGGGACCATGTCTGTAATGTCCACGTGTTATCATTGATTCCCCACACGACTGTTATATTATACAGAAGGGACCATGTCTGTAATGTCCACATGTTATCATTGATTCCCCACACGACTGTTATATTATACAGAAGTCACCATGTCTGTAATGTCCACGTGTTATCACTGATTCCCCACACGACTGTTATATTATACAGAAGTGACCATGTCTGTAATGTCCACGTGTTATCACTGATTCCCCACACGACTGTTATATTATACAGAAGTGACCATGTCTGTAATGTCCACGTGTTATCACTGATTCCCCACACGACTGTTATATTATACAGAAGTGACCATGTCTGTAATGTCCACATGTAATCATTGATTCCCCACACGACTGTTATATTGTACAGAAGTGACCATGTCTGTAATGTCCACGTGTTATCATTGATTCCCCACACGACTGTTATATTGTACAGAAGTGACCATGTCTGTAATGTCCACGTGTTATCATTGATTCCCCACACGACTGTTATATTATACAGAAGTGACCATGTCTGTAATGTCCACGTGTTATCATTGATTCCCCACACGACTGTTATATTATACAGAAGTAACCATGTCTGTAATGTCCACGTGTTATCATTGATTCCCCACACGACTGTTATATTATACAGAAGTGACCACGTCTGTAATGTCCACATGTAATCATTGATTCCCGACACGACTGTTATATTATACAGAAGTGACCATGTCTGTAATGTCCACGTGTTATCATTGATTCCCCACACGACTGTTATATTATACAGAAGTGACCATGTCTGTAATGTCCACGTGTTATCATTGATTTCCCACACGACTGTTATATTATACAGAAGTAACCATGTCTGTAATGTCCACGTGTTATCATTGATTCCCCACACGACTGTTATATTATACAGAAGTGACCACGTCTGTAATGTTCACGTGTTATCATTGATTTCCCACACGACTGTTATATTATACAGAAGTGACCATGTCTGTAATGTCCACGTGTTATCATTGATTCCCCACACGACTGTTATATTATACAGAAGGGACCATGTCTGTAATGTCCACATGTTATCACTGATTCCCCACACGACTGTTATATTATACAGAAGTGACCACGTCTGTAATGTTCACATGTTATCGTTGATTTCCCACATTTTCAGGCAGCTTTTATTATGATTTACTCTATAACCAGGTCACAGCCAAGCATTAATATCGTGCACAATGATTCATTACTGAAATCACTATTAAAGCAAGCCAAAGGTGATTCCATTATATATAAGTTTTATGAATTCCATTATGTTTATAATGGCGAGCCTTTTCCACTGTACATTGAATAAGGCAAATTTGTTTATGTTCATTCGTAGTTTTTTTTTTTTTATCAAATAAAGCATCTGTAGGACGGTTAATGAATTTTGGTGAATTGTTGACCTGCTTTATCCCACATTGTTTATGTAACTGAGATCATAACTGAATTTAATTCCTTTACTGGGATTCGAACCTGAGACCTCTAAGTTATAGTTATTGGATGTCTAGCAAAGCCAAAAGCAATCAACAATCAATTATGAGTATATTTCCCATCAAAAGCAATCAACAAGCAATTATGAGTATATTTCCCATCAAAAGCAATCAACAATCAATTATGAGTATATTTCCCACCAAAAACAATCAACAATCAATTAGTGGTTCAACCTGAACCCGACTTCCTGCATCGAGTTTCTTACCATTTTCGTTTGTGTTTCGAAAGCAGAAGGAAGGCAGCTTCTCCGTCTGGTAGCTCTATCTACTCTCAATATGAAAGACCTGTATTTCCAGTCATTGCCGGCGGATGACTTCGATGACCTAGTGTTGTCTCAAGCGTGCGAGGATATAGAAAACGAAGTGAAAGCTTTTGATAGGATTTCCGACCTGTCGCTACTAGCAAACTGTCTGAAAGTGGCACTGAAATGAACATCGACTTGCTTGGGCACGTGACATTTGAATTGGAAGTACCGGAAAGTGAACCTCCTTAATTCGAGAACAATCGTTTCGGGGCAGCAGTATCTACCCAGTAAATGAAAGAGCTTATTGGATAACAAGAAATCTAAAAACGATACAGTTTGGGCGATGGGTGTGTTTGAAAGTTGGCGCCAAAATGGAAATGTAACTGGTGGTGAAGTAATCACGGACCGACCTTCTGAAAATAGCTGGTGAAGAAATGAACCACTTTCTGTTACGATTCGTCATGGAAACGAGAAAAAAGTACTCTCCACGTTCTTTGTACCTAATCGTCTGTGGAATTCTCCGTCATTTGAGAGATTGTGATGTAAATGACAAAAACCTTTTTGGACTCGCGAAATGGCGTGTTTAACAGTTTCCGAAAAGTGTTGGATGCAAAAATGAACGAGCTTCTCTCTAGCGGACTTGGCTCAAATGTTAAAAAAGCCAAGCCATTGATGCCCGATGATGAAGAATGGGAAAGTGGTGTCTTTGGAGCGGACTCGGCAAGAGTCATTACAGTGCACTGTTTTTCTCTATGCATGTAAACTGTTTTGGCTTCGTGGAGACGATGAACATCATGATCTTGAATGTGAGCAGTTTCATGTTGATAATGACCAGCACGGAAAATATGTGGAGTTTACTGGAAGGGGATGTTAAACATGAAAAGGAGGGTCAAAGGACGGAGAACTGACCAGCACGAACATACGGCATTACTGCCAAGAAGGTAGGTTACATATTGTTAAATTTAGGAGTTTTGTAGATTAAAGCCCCAATATACGTAACATTCACCAAACATTTAGTGTATAATCACACATAATTATTGTGATATTCTCTAAGATGTAGTTAAAATTAAGTTATTCAAACAATAGTTACCATGACTTTGTGTATAAAGTATTGATATATGAGCAGTTGAAACTCGCTATTTGTAAACACATCCCCATTTTAAACACGCCGCCATCGAAATTACGATTGTTGCCGAACCACGTCGAAAAGTTCATGACCTGATCTCGCGAGAGTTGCGGTTTATACTTATAGAGGAAGCACATGCAGATATGTCTACGGTAAGTTTTTGTATACCAAGATTGTTTGCGAAGTCTTGTCGTTGACTTGAGGTATTCCTGTGATAAACATTCAGTTTTTGGGAAATTATTAGAAGGAATAATTAGTTTAGAAACGATACGACGCACAATTATAACGTAAGAATTCAGAACTGGCCTGATGTATGATTGGGAAAAAAGGAAGCGACTGGTGAACGTCTGTACTGTGTTTGCCATGTTTACACACGCGGAATATGCGCATGCGCAATGTCATCGCTACGAGCGGTAATGTATGAATTATTGTGGGTCCCACATTGTTTATTTTCCGATTTTTTCAATTTTTATTTAAATTGAAAACAGTCAGTTTTATGTTATTTAATTAAAGGAAAGTATTTGTTTTGTTACATGTATTACGGGGAAAATAAGGTAAAGTTTGTTTTCATAGTGATTTCTATGTATATTGGGGCTTTAAAATGACTAGAAAATGATGCGCGTCAAATTAGAATTTTCATGATTTTTGCGTAATGTATTGGCCATTTGAAAAGAGGGGCGGGTAGAAAACTAGTATGACCTAATTTTTCTGAATTTTATAATAACATAATTTCAAAGGTTTCTTATTTGGAAAGACTTTTTTCCCAACCAATTTAAGCCGTTCTTTGTTAAAATTTTTGAATTTTAAGGGAGTTATAAGCTGCATTGTAAAACAAATAATCATCGGTAGTTCCGGTTTCGAGATCCAAATCGTATATGATAATTATAAAGAACTTAAGCTAAACCTTTCTAAACCAAATTTATCTAATACGACAACCTAATCTCCACAGGAGATTGACATGTTGCGAGAAATGGGATGAAATATCACTAAAGGGTCAGAGCCAACAGTACATATTCCGTTTATAGGAACGTGTCAAGCCACTGTGTTCTACCTTGTCAAGGCTTCTCCGCTACAACAGTAGCCCTCATTACGGCTACAAATTAATTTCTTCCCATCTGATTTTTGTA